GTAGCCAATCAGTTGTTTTAATTGTCATATTTGAATTCAGCACATCAAAATACATAATAAATAGCACATTTTATCTCTGAAGCAGATGACTTCTCAAAAATTGTAGACCAGTGTTATCCTAACATATCTGAGTTCAGTTGAGCACCTGCAGCTCTGTACTCTCTCTCGGGACAATGACAACTTAGCCAGCCCTCATAAATCAAAGTATTATTTATTCAGGAAAAAAAATACAGAGAAAACACATCTTGAAAACAATAAACAGCTTGTATGCATGTCTGATTTATCTCAGAGAGACCCCTGTGAATTTCAAAGTCATTCAGATCCTTTCCACAGGGTCCATCCCTCCTGATGACTGTGATTGGATCAGGTAAGAGTAACCACTATCACCATATCTGGGTGGTCACTGTATATAGTCCAGTTCTTTGCTTGCCAGAGTTCTCCTACCAAGTCAAACCAGAATATGTAATTTCCCCCAAGGGAGGAATGTTTCTTCAGATTGGTTACCAGCCTCAGGATTTCCATTAACTCCTGATGATAGATCCTTCCGGCAGCTCCTGTAACACCCCTATTGCCCATACAGACACTTTTAACACTTATAAAGTTGATTGATACACAGGTCTTTGAATAGTCTGAGTCTATAACTCAGTTCACAGGCTGATACTTCCTCATAGTTATCCCTCTACAGCTAGAAGGTAACAATATATGGTGAGGGGGAATAGAATCACACAATTTTTAATAAATATATATCAGAAGATTCCCACTTCTCCACAATTTTATTCAGGAGGTCTACAACAGCTCACCATTCTAAATGGATTTGGTTCTGACAACCTGTAACCCAAGGACACCTTGATGCCAACCGGCAGAGAGCAAAGGCTACGGAAATACCCTGGTATCTGATATTTACATTTTAGTTCAAAGAGTGTCATTTAAAGTTTCTACTGAAAGTTTGTGTCACATATTTGCCAAATGCATAGACAGATAATATGTAAGTATATATAGATATAGATATAGATATATGAAATTATGTTCTTAAGGACTTAGAGGTACAGACTGTCACACCTGCATTTACCTTCATGTTCACTCCTTTTACAAGACTATGAAAATTTTTGCACAAAGTATGCTTTGTGCAGTATCATTTGAAAACTCACAATTTGCTGATCATTATTGTCCTGGTAAAGTATGTGTGGCAACATTGCACATAAAGCTAGAAGATTCCTCTGTATGGTATTATTAAGACAAGTTCCAAGTCTGGAGTGCAGCTACAAATCAGTTCCTCAGAGACAAAAGGAAAGCTGATACCTCAGCCAGGTGGCAACAAAATCAAAGGGCCCTGGATAACCAGCCACTTTTGGGCAGGAAAAAAGGTGGAGCCGAAAAAATCTACATCTCGATAAAGAAACATCTTGGGGTTCCTATCACAGATTCTCTGTCTCCTGAACCCCGGCTGGAGATGATTCTTGAAGAAAAGAAAGAACTATAAGAAGGGAGAGCAGCTACCCCAAATTATCTCTCCATTTCTCTCTACCAATGGCATCAACAACACTTGAAGAACAAAGGAAGCAGTATTGGACAGGGGGAAAGGCTCTGTCAAAGAAATTGAGCCAATAAGCCTGCTGGAGAGAGAGATTGCTTTAAATTTACTTAGCTTGTTAAAAGAACAGGAGTACTTGTGGCACCTTAGAGACTAACAAATTTATTAGAGCATAAGCTTTCGTGGACTACATCATATATGCATCCAAAGAAGTGGGCTGTAGTCCACGAAAGCTTATGTTCTAATAAATTTGTTAGTCTCTAAGGTGCCACAAGTACTCCTGTTCTTCTTTTTGCGGATACAGACTAACACGGCTGCTACTCTGAAATTTGTAACAAGTAGTTACACTTCTAGTCCCAATACCCACTTGTTGTCCCAATACCCACTAGGTCATTTTCATTAATCTGCTGTCTGCATGCAGCCACTATTGCCTTTAACTAGTGCAAAATAAGATGTTGTAATATCATTTGATCGTTCTGTGTCTCAAGGGAGCTCACACTTGGCACTCCTCCTGATGGTATGTTGCAGTAGCACATCTATTTATAGGCAGAACTGTTAGTCCTCAACAGCCAGAACAAACAGGAGAGGGTTTGAACTGAAGCCTCAGCATTTCAGAGGTCCTCTTGGTTTAGGTTTAAGACAGGCAAAGTGCCTACATTACTCTGGTGTAAAGCCGGACGTTCTTTTCATATTTTAACCTGGGTACTAAGAGCAAGTAATGAACAGAGGCATGTGGGAGAGAAAGTCGTCTGACGGGGATATACGCTAACGTCAAACCAGCTCTTTCAATTCCAAATTACACTGATTTAAAGAAATCTGCACAGTGCCCATATACCATACCCCTTACAATGTCAGAAACAAAACAGAATAGTAGCAAATTTAAAAGAATCTGAACAGACTACACATGGACTATCCTGCCATAGAGCTTGCTGGTAGCAGCAGCTTTCTCCCTTTCAAATAGCCTGACAGCCTCACTTTCACAAGCCAAGACCAGCAAGTTGTTACGATCAGACCTATTAACGTATTTCTATTTGTTTTGTTTAAAAAGCCAGAGTTTTCTATAAAGTTCAGCAAGTAAATTCTGAAGCTGGTTCTTACCACCCCAATTAGGTCTCCTCGCCCATATTCACCAGTCAGTTGTTTTTTCCCATCATCCATCCTAATGACAGAACGAAGTCGACCATTCAGCACAATGTATGTGCAGTCTGACTTGTCACCCTGCCTGGGAGAGAACAATCCATACTATGAATTAGTGGGTGTCTGTGCTCAGCAAATACATCCACAAAAATAATTAACTAATCAGCTCTATGTAAACCTCCCCACCATCCCTTGGTAGCTCTGCTCTCTGCAGAGATGAGAGAAAAAACATTTACTGAACAATTAAAAAAAACAACCTGACCACAGATTTGTCAAATGCAACTTGCAAACACCTTTCATTTTTGACTATATACAATCAACAACTGGCTGGTTTTAGGTCACCAGGCAGACAGCTGGAATTTGAACATTCCCTAGCACAGCAAACAGGCTACAGGAAAATAGTTGAACTAGGGGAATAGGGCAATTGTGCAGAGAGAAGAGAACAAACTGTGTGGGTGGGTGGCTTGACTCAAACCTTAGCCTCCTAAGAACCTGTGCAATGGTGTGAAGCTGTAGCCTTTGCCTGGGTTCAAGCCCAACTGTAGATAAGGTAGAATGCTGTTTGGCATTCAGGTCTCCAGCACAATGAAGGATACAAGCCAGGCTTAAAACTTTGATATTGGAACCAATACTAGAGCATAGCCCGGCCATATGATTTACAACAAATTTCCCCATCGATACATGATGTTTTCATGCACTGACCAAGTATTTGAGATTTCTATTAGTAATGACATTGCAAAAGCAGTAACAAAAAACTAGAATTACAGTTACCTGCTATTTATACTAATTGCAAATCAGAGCTTTGTCCTCCCACCCACTGCTTTCATGCAATGGATCAAATTTATACCACAGATAACTCTATAAAACTAATGGAGCTATCTAAGGAGGAATGTGGCCCAGTACATATATTAAGTGCTGTAAAGTCAGTTTTAATTTATTGTTAGGCAAACCCGACTGAGTTCCCTTTCAGTTGGTTTATTTCAGACTGTAAGCTCCTTGAGGCAGAGGACTTTACTGGCAAACAAAACCTATCTATATGAATTGTTATTGTTTTAGTTTGTGTGTGTTATCTGTTCTGCTACATCAGAAAGGTACCAAAGAATTTAAATCAAAGCAGCATGCAGAATCCCACTCTCACTAATATAAATGAAAACCACAAAACTGAAAAGTCCTTAAATACTACGCTGATTGGCACAAGAGAAACCCCTCAAAAGATGAAAAACAGATGAACCCTTCCTACACCTGTTGATGAGCTTGCTCCAGTGAGTAAGCAGTGTGACTCCATGGGGGATGACAGTTAGGCAAAGCACTCTTATTTATTTATGTATTACTTTGAAACCTTTGATATCATTCCTGCAGGGGTACTGGGACTTACAAAACATGGGCCATTTTGCTCACTTCTCACCTGTAAACAGCTCGTCCAGCCTCCACTTCCATCCAGTCCAAAGCAAAGTCAATCTGCCTCACAAACGAGGACATCCTCTTTACAACACTGTGGGCCACACCCAGCACTACACTTGGCTGCACCCGCATTATCCTAGAAGAGAAAAACAAACACTTCACTCAGACAGAAACAAACACAGACACTTTTCCCAGAGCAAACCGCAGTTGCTGCAGGTGCAGCGCACGCAGGGCCGGCTCCAGGCACCAGCCTGGCAAGCAGGTGCTTGGGGCGGCCGCTCCGGACAGGGGCGGCACATCCAGGTATTCGGCGGCAATTCGGCGGACGGTCCCTCACTCCTGCTGGGAGCAAAGGACCTCCCGCCGAATTGCCGCTGCAGATCGCGATCGCAGCTTTTTTTTTTTTTTGGCTGCTTGGGGCGGTCAAAACCCTGGAGCCGGCCCTAAACGCATGGCTTCATAAGGAGGATGAGTTTAATGGGTTTTCACTTTAGAAATGGAATAAAAATAAGTAACTACTGCTCCCTTGGTGCCAAGATTCCAGTTTTCCAGGGTACATTATACACTGGCCTCCCCAGTCCCTCCCTCACACACACGCTGAAGTGTTTAAGGAGATTCTCTCTCTTTACGGAGAGCAGCACACTACTGCATTTTACAAATCTCACCCCCTCATGCGCTTGGACGTGCCATGTAGACAATCCCTGAGAGTCTTACTGGGTTTGGCAGTTGATCATGATCTTAAAAATAAAATTAAAAAGACAGAGACCTGCACCCTGGATGACATAGTGCTCACTATGGGAATTTCAGTGGCTTTAAGTGGTAATTAAAGCCCATACCCTCAAACAATTGACTCTGAGAGCAATAAAGTTAGCCATCCGCAGGAGAAGTGGGATAACAGCTAGTTCCATCAGACCCTGACAAAGCAGCATACCTCTCTAATGTCCCTGACTTTGGGAATGGCTGCACAGCAGCTAGGAGTGAGCCCAGGAACACAGACTTGCAAAGCAGGGCTTAAGTAGCATGCTGCAAATAACAGTATATAGGCTGTGGCTTGTGCTGAAGTTTGGGATCTCAAATCTAGCTGGTCAGATGGGCTTCAAAGCCCAAGCCCCAGCCCATACCATAATGTCTACGCTGCTATTTTTAATGAGCGAGCTTGAGCCCTGCTAGTGTGAGTCTTTCTACCCCGATTGGGAGGCTCACTCCCAGCTGCAGCATAGACAAACCAGTTGAGGGACATCAGGGATTTTAGATTTAAAGTCCCCTACCTTCCATGCAAACCTGATGTCTCCTCTTGTCTTTTGTGGAAAATTATTCACGAGAAACAAAGAATCATGAACCTAACGTTACAGAAAGTTACTTTAACACGAAAGGAAAGATCCCTCTGCATTTTAAGTTTCCTGCATGAATCATTTCTTGGTGTCCCTAATTTTGAGGTTTTAATCACAGGCTTGGCGGGTAGAGATGAATGTGCAGAAGTTCTACATTTCTGAGTACCCTTAACTCACATGCCCTTACAGAGTGGCAGGACTAGTCAGAGGACAAGCAGTGCACCAACACAACAACACTAGAGAGAGACAGACTATAATTAGTCTCTGAAAAGCACTATGTAACAGCTAGGTATTTTTACTAGACTTGGCACATAAAATCATAGTTGTAACTCATCAGTATACAAGACAAATTAGGGACAGACTCGACTAAAGTTAAAAAGTCCAACTAAAATCTCTCCACGCATCATCAAGGATCTACAATCTATCCTGTAGGACAATCCCTCACTCTCACAGATCTTGGGAGACAGGCCAGTCCTCGCTTACAGACAGCTCCCCACCCTGAAGCAAATACTCACCAGCAACCACACACCCAAAACACTAACCCAGGAACCTATCCTTGCAACAAAGTCTGTTGCCAACTCTGTCCACATATCTATTCAGGGGACACCATCACAGGACCTAATCACATCAGCCACACCATCAGAGGCTCATTCACCTGCACATTTACCAATGTGATATATGCCATCATGTGCCAGAAATGCCCCTCTGCCATGTACATTGGCTAAACCGGACAGTCTCTACGCAAAAGAATAAATGGACACAAATCAGACGTCAAGAATTATAAAAACGAGTCAGAGAACACTTCAACCTCCCTGGTCACTCAATTACAGACCTCAAAGACGCAATACTCCAACAAAAAAACTTCAAAAACAGACTCCACCAAGAAACTGCAGCTGTTGGAATTAATTTGCAAACTGGACACCATTAAATTAGGCTTGAATAAAGACTGGGAGTGGATGGGTCATTACACAAAGTAAAAACTATTTCCCCATGCTAATTTTTTTCCCCTACTGTTACTCTCACCTTCTTGTCAACTGTTGGAAATGGGCCATCCCGATTATCTCTACAAAAGTTTTTTTTTCTCCTGCTGATAATAGCCCACCTTAATTGATTACTCTCGTTATAGTTAGTATGGCAACACCCATTTTTTCATGTTCTCTGTGTATATATATCTTCCTACTGTACTTTCCACTGCATGCATCCGATGAAGTGGGTTTTAGCCCATGAAAGCTTATGCTTGAATACATTTGTTAGCCTCTAAGGTGCCACAAGTACTCCTCATTCTTTTTGCTGATACAGACTAACACAGCTACCACTCTGAAACCTGAGTTTATTGAAGCAGTCCCACACACACCAAGCCACCCCTCCCAACCCCATCTGGGCAGGTGTTCCCTGGAACTGTTTCATTAGGCCCAACAGGCATTGTGTAGTAAGAAACAGTCCCATGGAAAAACCCAAACTCAGTAGCCCTGTGCCAGGCCTACTTTCTTCCGGGGGATTGGCAAGCAGCAGTCTCTGCAGAGGGGCTGGTCTGGTCTGCTAGGCGAGCAATACAGCAATGCACAGACAATCCAGGAAGTTTTTGGAGTGTGTTGGGTAAAACTTCCTGGTACAAGTGCTGGAGGAACCGACTAGGGGCCGTGCTCCTCTTCACCTGCTGCTTACGAACAGGGAAGAATTGGTAGGGGAAGTAGAAGTGGGTGGCAACCTAGGCAGCAGTGACCATGAGATAGTTGAGTTCAGGATCCTGACAAAAGAAAGACAGGAGAGTAGCAAAATATGGACCCTGGACTTTGGAAAAGCAGACTTTGATTCCATTAGGGAACTGATGGGCAGGATCCCCTGGGAATCTAATATGAGGGGGCAAGGAATCCAAGAGAGCTGGCTGTATTTTAAAGAAGCCTTATTGAGGGCGCAGGAACAAACCATCCCGAAGTGCAGAAAGAATAGCAAATATGACAAGCGACAAGTTTGGCTTAACAGTGAAATCTTTGTTAGTCTCTAAGGTGCCACAAGTACTCCTGTTCTTCTTTTTGCGGATACAGACTAACACGGCTGCTACTCTGAAACCAGTGAAATCTTTGCTGAGCTTAAACTTAAAAAGGAAGCTTAGAAGAAGTGGAAATTTGGACAGATGACTAGAGAGGAGTATAAAAATATTGCTAGAGCATGCAGAGGTGTAATCAGGAAAGCCAAGGCATGATTGGAGTTGCAGCTAGCAAGGGATGTGAAGGGTAACAAGAAGGGTTTCTACAGGTAGGTTAGCAACAAGAAGAAGGTCAGGGAAAGTGTGGGACTCTTACTGAATGAGGGAGGCAACACAGTGACAGATGATGTGGAAAAAGCTGAAGTACTCAATGCTTTTTTTGCCTCGGTCTTCACAGACAAGGTCCACTCCCAGACTACTGCACTGGGCAACACGTTATGGGGAGGAGGTGAGCAGCCCTCAGTAGTGAAAGAACAGGTTAAGGACTGTTTAGAAAAGCTGGGCATGCACAAGTCCATGGGTCCAGATCTAATGCATCCAAGGATGCTCAGGGAGTTGGCTGATGTGATTGCAGAGCCATTGGCCATTATCTCTGAAAATTCGTGGCGATAGGGGGAGGTCCCGGACGATTGGAAAAAGGCAAATATAGTGCCCATATTTTAAAAAGGGAAGAAAGAGAACCGGGGGAACTACAGCTTCACTTCAGTCCCTGGCAAAATCATGGAGCAGGTACTCAAGGAAACCATTTTGAAGCACTTGGAGGAGAGGAAGGTGATCAGGAACAGTCAACATGGATTCACCAAGGGCAAGTCATGCCTGACCAACCCGATTGCCTTCTATGATGAGATAACTGACTCTGTGGATATGGGAAAAGCAGTGGACATGATATATTTTGACTTTAGCAAAGCTTTTGATACGGTCTCCCACAGTATTCCTGCCAGCAAGTTAAAAATGTATGGATTGGATGAATAGACTAGAAGGTGAATAGAAAGCTGGCTAGATTGTCAGGCTCAACAGGTAGTGATCAACGGCTCGATGTCTAGTTGGCAGCCTGTATCAAGCGGAGTGCCCCAGGGAGTCAAGTCCTGAGGCTGGTTTTGTTCAATATCTTTATTAATAATCTGGATGATGGGATTGATTGCACCCTCAGTAAATTCGCAGATGACACTAAGCTCGGGGGAGAGGTAGATACGCTAGAGGGTAGGGATAGAATCCAGAGTGACCCAGACAAATTGAAGGATCGGGCCAAAAGAAATCTGATGTGGTTCAACAAGGACAAGTGCAGAGTCCTGCACTTAGGAAGAAAGAATCCCATGCACCGCTACAGGCTGGGGACCGATTGGCTAAGCAGCAGTTCTGCAGAAAAGGACCTAGGGATTACAGTGGATGAGAAGCTGGATATGAGTTAGCAGTGTGCCCTCGTTGCCAAGAAGGCCAACGGCATATTGGGCTGTATTAGTAGGAGCATTGCCAGCAGATCGAGGGAAGTGATTATTCCCCTCTATTCAACACTGATGAGGCCACCCCTGGAGTATTGCGTCCAGTTTTGGTCCCCCCCACTACAGAAGGGATGTGGACAAATTGGAGAATCCAGCAGAGGGCAATGAAAATGATTAGGGGGCTGGAGCACATGACTTTCAAGGAGAGACGGAGGGAACTGGGGTTATTTAGTCTGCAGAAGAATGAGGGGGGATTTGATAGCAGCCTTCAACTACCTGAAGGCGGGTTCCAAAGAGGATGGAGCTCGGCTGTTCTCAGTGGCAGATGACAGAACAAGGAGCAATGGTCTCAAGTTGCAGTGGGGGAGGTCTAGGTTGG